GAAGAAAGGAGGAGAAACCCTAACCAATTGAGAGAGAAATACAACAGATTTCGAACCAAGAAAATCGCAAGAAAGGTTCCTGCGAATTGAGATCAGATCTCATACTCTCCAGAAAAAGAGAAAAGCAGTTCAGCCTTTTCATTTTGGAGATCTCCTCCTGCCGCCGCCATCTGCCTTTGCAAGATTAGATCTTTGCAGAAAAAGAAAGCCAAGAAATCTGTTCTTGACATCAGTCTTGCAAGATAGACTGAAAAAGATTCAGTGTTTAGTACTTCCAGAGGATTCTTGTGAAGGATCTAGTGTGTAGGACGCACCCTGCTGGTTCTGTTCCATCGACTGCTGTGTCATCTTCAGCAGGAACGGATCTTGGAGCATTCTTTGGGCGTCAACACCAACTTTGGGAGATAGTGCTTCTCCGGATCAGGTATATTCCTGCCATTTATCTTTTGGTACAGATCTGGTTTGATTATGGTTCAAGTAGGATCCTTGAATATTATATTCTAAATTTAGGGAATATGATTCCTAGTTGGGAGAAGGTAGGAAATTTTTTGAAATTCGCCCACCCATTTCTCAACCCTCATGGCGTCCATTGGATGGATCCTACCATTCTTTCAATGTTCAATGTTGGAATCCCATCTGTAGAGAGAGGCACAGTGAACTGACCGATGCACACGGCTGGGACCTGAGATTGCCCCCGGAGACGTTCATTTCATCGTTCTGTCCAGCGTTACTAGAGGATGCCATGGATGCTTTTCGAGGAAAGAGGCTTCTTGTAGTGTTTCCCATAGACGGCGCCAAATGATATAGCGCAATCCGACTGCTCCCAGTTGGAGGTGATCTGGCTTCCAGTAGAAAACGGACTCGGTTGATCTGCAAAAAGCGAATCAGAGAACCCGGGGTTGCTTACCCGACGAGGTCGCTCCAATGCTTAAGTTAGTACTTGGTTGCGAGCTGATAATAGCTTAGAATGCAAGAGGGCTAGAGAACAGAGATGAGGCGTACCTTTCTCCCCCGGGGGGTGGAGCCTTCGCGGGTTTCGCAGAGCGATTCCGGGATCCTCGTTACGATGAGGTCCGTTTCCGCGTTAATTGGGGATAACGCTGCCAACTGATAAGATTCATCATTTTCGCCCGAATCGGACGAGGGAGATAATGTTAGCCGTTACGAGGCGTGATCCCGTGAGGCGCAAAATATGGTGGCGAGATCTTCGGGGTTGCCATGCAGTGGTCGGTTAGTATTACCTGAGCTAGTGCCCATTGGATCCAACCTGGTACGAATGCCGAAGTGCCTTGGGACCGAGGTGGTCCCGATGCGATCGTGCACCGAGGTGAACTCGTTCCGAGGTGGACTTGCCCCGAGGTGGTTCGGTTATTCGAACTCAATCCGTTGCAGACTTGGTGTGTCGAACTGAATTGTCATCCTGCTAGTTAGGTCGTGTCCATGTGTCCCCCTATTACTAGGTCAGGCCAAATCACCCTACATCAAATACCTCCCCTGCACTTTTGAGAAACTCAACAAAAACCTCCCATCCGTCACTGTCCTAGACGGAAAATGTTAGATTGATGCACCAATTTTTTCCAAATACACATTCTATCTTTTTATAAATTATTTTACATACAAAATTACTGAAATAACCCCATTTTAACTCAACAAAAACCTCTTTTAACGATCATTTCAGTAATTTTACATACAAAATTACTGAAATATGTTCTTTTTGTTGAGTTAAAATGGGATTATTTAAGTAATTTTGTATGTAAAATAATTTATAAAAGGGTAGGATGAATATTTGGAAAAAAGCGATGAATCAATCTAACGTTTTCTGTCTGGAACAATGACAAAAAGGGAGGTTTTTGTTGAATTTTTCAAAAGTTATTTGTTAAAATGAAACTATAGGGGAGGATTTTATGATTGTCAGAAATTTGAGGGCAGTTTTTTGTATTTTACCCTATCCCAACAGTATATTGGGAACATCTCCGACTGAGAAAACTCTTCCCAATGCACTCTATGATCTCGTTTAAGAATTTGGTTCCAAAGGGTGTCCAACTCATTATGTAAGCACCTCTGTCCTCTAAACAAACACCTACGGAGGGAATCCGGAAAAATCTGACGAAATATTGTGAATGCCAGTTTCAGAATTAGGTCCAAATACTAAAAGTAAAACTTTTTATTTTACCGAGTAAGATTTGAATGGCGCAAAGACAGTTTGATTAGTTTTGCTACTGTCTAAAACAAACTTAAACACAATACAGGCTTTATCTCAAGGATGCTCCAGAGTCCAGAGAATGTACTAAATTACAAATACCACGCACAACGAAAACAAAATTAAGCTTTATCGATGTCAAGGGAACACTTCTATAATTGATTCGATTGCAACGATGGGTGTTATCTTGTACCCGCTGTAACCCGCTTCCTTGAAGAGTTTATGCCACTCCTTTTCACTTCTCTCTTTACCACCCACTGCGACCAGCATGTCCATCTCCATCCCCAGTCTTGCACCAGTGAACTCATTCGGCGATGATTCCACATCCATTACAATATCCACGATCACTGCTTTTCCTCCTTTCTCCGATATCGCCTCCTTGCATTTCTTCAGAATCTTTACGCAGTCCTCGTCTCCCCAGTCGTGTAACACCGACTGATCAACCAGTAACCATTAATACAAATTAATAATAAAACGTAACAGAGCCATAATCAATAAAATGATGAAGTATAAATTATAAAATACTGATTTGGGATTCATTCGTTGATCACAGGTTTACTCGCTCTCTCACCTTCATGAACACCACATCCGTTTTCGGAATTGATACGAACATATCGCCTCCGATCCGAGTCACCTCGGGGCACTCGGGCGCGTTGGCTACTACGTGGGGCAGATCAAACACCGCACATTTTATACTGGGGAACCACTTAGCGATGGCTCTAGCAGCCACCCCAGTACACCCGCCCACGTCAATTAGGGACCCTACTCCATCAAGGATGTGCGCCTTCTTGCAGCCCTTCACCAGCGCGTCCGTCACCATACTCGTGTGACTCGTCATCGCGTCGCTCAACAACTGATTCGCCACCGAGTCCTTCTTAAAGTACTCTATGTAGTCCACGCCGCCGTGACACTTCTCCCAGGGTGTCACGGTACCTTCCACTGCGGCACTTAGGTGGTTCCAAGTGTCTATCTCGTACAATTGCAGGAGAACGAAGGATGCCAGGTTCTTCTCCTGGTTTTTGACCAAGAGCTTGGACGCGGGAGTGAGCCGGTACTTCTTTAACCCGTCGGAATCGACCTGCAGGTCGAAGAGTTTCATGTGCACGAGGTAACGCAACACCCTGTACAATCCGTCTTGGCTGACAGAGGGAAGAGGGATGGAGGAGGCTAACTCGGAGAGAGTCATGGGCTGACCATGTTCGTAGAGTATGTCCGCGATCCCGAGTTCGATCGCGCATTTGAGAGTGAATGACTCGACGAAGCCGTATATGTGTTTCCACACTTGGGCTTGAGCTTTCATGTCCTCCTCCATGGCGTCCGCCTCAATCTTTCTCTCTTTCTCTCAAAAGCTTAGTGATCGATCGAATTGGCCTCTTGGCAAACGCAGTGAATTTCTTTTATAGAGCTGGTCGACCACTGATTTGTGGCTCCGCTAAGACCAGCAGGAGACCTTATCATTACCGCTGGTGGCATCTGACAGGCTGCGTTTGTTTTCGGTATAAATACGGACCGATATAAAAGTCTACTATTGATTTATATTTTATATATTTGTTTTTAGTATAAATTTCATATCGAAAATTGATATAAATTTTAAACACCGTTGAATTTTATATTGATAATTGATATAAATACTATATCAATAATACACTTTTAAAAAATTCCAATAATTCACTCATTTTAAACTCGATCAACTGTATTTAACTTCATTAATGTATTTTTACACCAATGACAAATTTACACTAAAACAAACACAGCCCAAGGAAAACACCAACATTCATTACTTCCCGTTGTAGTCGGTTGACCAGTGGGTAAGACTGGAAATTGGAAGGGTATGGGCGGCTACTCAAATAGCAGCTGGTTAGTTGAGCAGCGTAGTAAAAAATTGAGAAAACAATTAAATAAGCATGAAATCTTCTCACGTGGGAAGAGCGACAAAAGGAGCAGATAATCACATGTTTCATGGTCTGAAGCGAAAAAGAAACACGTGTTGCATGGTACTTCACTAGAAAATAGAAAGAAATCACGTACATAATTGAGATTTGAGATTAATGAAGCTTCCTCGGTCCCATTCATTAGCACTTCTTAGTATCAGTTTAATAACCTTCCATTCAAAGGGAAGGGACTGACACTTCACTAATCACTATCACTACCTTGGCCCCTCAAGGGTGAAGGGAGTTGGATTTAGGGCTGTCAATAGGCTGGGTCTCAGCCGGGAATAAAACCACTATACTAATATTATATAAACCCACTATATTTCAATGTTATATATATAATTAATCGATCGGTTCGGGTCTTAATCGATTCAGAACAGTCAAAACCGATCCTGACTCAATAATAATAGGGATAAACATTTTAAAACCGAAACCGACGCAATAGGGCAGTAAATGGAATCAAAACTGATATAATCAGTTCGGTTGGTTCAATTGTATCAGGTAGATAACCCATTGACAGCAGAGATTGGGAATCGATCTACAGAAAGGATTGGATTCAATATTGTATATAGAGTTCGGCTTCAGTCAGGGCAAACTCTGTTCGGACAGCCTATCCTGCTTTGCATTGAGAATATTTTCATACTGATATATTTTATTTTATGTCAATGTAAGGTCGGAAAAGGCTGTTAGAATGGTGTGGGCATGAATTTGCCCTGACTGAAGCCAGTTTCATATATATATATATATATATATATATATATATATATATAAATCCTCCTTCCTAATTTTCTGTTTTTTAGAATTTTTTATGTTTTTAATCCACATAATTACCCATTAAACCAATAAAGAAATCACATATAACTAACTATTTTTAACAACCATAAAGCTTTTCTAATGTTTAGCCAAGTGACACCACTTTCCCCCATTTTCTCCTAAATTTTCTCTAATTCTTATTTATCTCCTAAATTATCTCTAACTCCTATTTATCTCTTAAATTATCTCTAATTTAGTAGGGAGATTCTCTCCTAAACTATCTCTAATTCCTATTTATCCTCTCCCCCACTTTTTATCTATATCTATCTAAAAAAGCTTCAATTAAAAAAAAGGGTAAATTACAAAGACCCCATGTACTATGACCGTGAGACAAAGACCCCCTTCCGTTAGGCTTCCATCCAAAACAGCTGTTATAATATTTTTTAGTTCCCATATTACCCTTGTAATAACTATTCAGACAAGGGAGAAAAACACTGTTCATCTTCCCCGACCTCACGATACAGGAACAATAGCCGCGGTAATCCCCACTACCTCATATTCCTTCACATTTCTCTCAACCTCTCTCTCCTCTCTCTCTCTCCCCCGATCTCTCTTCTTCCCCTTCTCCATCATCTACCACCACAGCAATGTCACCATTCTGCATGCCATTTGCATCAATAATATCCAAGTCCTCACCCCAATCACCATCATCAGCCTCTTCATCATCTTCCTCTACACCCCTCCCTGCATTATCCAGCCCACCCTCAAAGATACCTTTCATAACCCTAAACAAGGGCCAATATCCTCCACAGAGAATAGGTGATGGAGGCATCGGAAGCGATGGTACTCTCCCGTTTGGCAAGGTTGGAACATTATCTCCCAATTCAGCTGCAAGACGTTCAGCAACATCCTGGAGACCATAACATATGCAAGGGGCAAATGGCCAGCATTCTCCAAAATCTTGACACGCTCCTTGACATCGCCCAAGTACAAGACATTATGAAATTGGTCCATCACATCATTTACGTTTTCCTTTTCCGACTTGTTGTTTCTTTATATTACCTTTTTTCACCTCCATCTCTCTGTCTCTGGTTGAAGCCTTGAAGACATAATCAAAAGGGTACCGATAAACCCACTTTCCTACATTTCTTTCACTGTGTTTTAGAATGTTGAAGGCGAATCTGCATTGTGTTGTTGTTTTGATTTCAGTTTTTATGTGTTTTTGGGTAATTTAGTTTTGAAAAGCTATTCTACACTGAGTTCCTAAATCTCTAGTGGAATGTTTGAAGTTTGAAGGAGAAACTTTATAATTTGATATGTAAACTTTCGATTGAGTTATGCCTTTACTTGCTTTCGTGTAGGACTCGTGAGAATTTTGGATGAGCAGGAAGTCGGCTGGTAATGACTTTTTTTGAACTTTATTTGCTTTGGCGTGCTTGATCTTTGTTGTTGGTGTTTCTTTAATGGATAATATTCATTTCGTTTATTTGTTCTATTTTATTTTTGAATGGGAATGCCAGACTAGTTAGTTGGATGGCAAAAGGGCAAAAGAAAGGTTAAATAGGTTTTAAGAGAAAAAGGGCAAAAGAAAATAGAAATAGTTTAGTGGGCTATTTTGGTAATTTAATGCATTTCGTCATCTTTCTAAACGGTCAAAGGGGTCTTTGTCCCACGATCATAGTACAGAGGAGGTCTTTGTCGCAGAACAAAGTAAAAGGGGGTCTTTCTTACAAACCCCATAGTATGGGGGGGTCTTTGTAATTTAACCTAAAAAAATTCAAAACTATTTAAATGTTATACCGAAATTATATACTAAATTTAAAATATTTATTCTAAACACAAAAATTAATAGATTTGATAATATTCATATTATTAATAATTCAATATTTTTATAAAATTAATCATGAAATTATGTAGTAACAATAAAAATTATAATTTTACGAATTACTCAATTTAAATGTTAGTCAAATAATAAGAATTTAGCATTAAAAAATAAAACATTATTTAAATATTTAAATAACAAAATATTTAACATGACAAAATTTTAAATAGTAAAAATAACGAAATTATGTAATAAATTTAAAAAAAAAATCTTAAAAGAAGAAAAATAATTATAATATAAATCATAATATTCATATTAATAATAATTTAATATTTTACAAAATTAATAACGAATTATGTAATAATAGTACAATTATAATTTTATGGATTATTAAATTCAATAAATAATTAATATTTTAAGAACATAAATAACAATATTATTTAAATAAGTAAATAATATTGTAAATAACTAATTTCACTTATATCAATTAATAATTATAGAAAATAACTATTAACAAAATTATATTTATTAGTATAATTTTACTATAATAGTGTATATTCATTATATATTTATATTTACTATAATTAATATTTATTTTATTTTCAGTAATTATTTATTATTTTTAAGAAATAAGCTTTCAATAATTATTTTTAAATGTATTTTTATTTTTCTATTTAATAGAAAATTATCAATAATTATTGGAGATTAAAAAATTATTTATTTAACTTTTGAAATTTAATTTGTCGTATTTATTGTATTTTTGTTATAAATTTATTTTTACTAATTATATGTTTTTCATACTTTATAGACTAATTAGAGATGAAGCTATTATTTAAGATTACACTATTTGTTGACTAATTTAGTATATTTTCAGTATTTATTATATTTTTGTAATTATTTTATTTTTATTATATATCTATTATATTTTCATTATAAACTTATTTTCAATGATTGTGTACATTTGTTATAAATTTTCAATAGTTGTTGGAGATTAAACTATTATTATTTATTAGAAATTAGACTATAAATTTAGTTGAAATTAAGAGTGTTCAATGATTGGATCAGTTCAGTTGCAAGCTGTTTTGCCAACCAAATCGATCTGGTCAAGTCCACAATTTGTCACTCGAAATCGATTGGCCATTAGCGAAAACCCACCAACTCGAGTTGTACTAATTTGGGTCTATTTTTGGTTTAGTTTGTCTGTTCAAAAGATTTAAACTTAAAAAATTAACTTTAAATTTCATAATTTACAATGATATTATTAAAAAATAAATTACAAAAATTAAATCTATGATATCAAATATTTTAGACTAACAAATATGGTAATTTTCCTACTTTCTTGTTTTAAAAATTAAACTTAAAATATAAAATATTAATATATATTTATTAAACCGAAGCCGATCTAAAATACTAGAAAACCAACTAACTTGGGTTGAGTTTGATCGGATTGTTTATTAAAAAGTTCAAATATAAAACAATTATATACTCTTATGTATTTCTATTGTTTAACTTTCGCTTAACAAAGCACGGGAACCCGTCACCATGCCTCTCCTTGCTCCATTATCCCCACCCTGCATTGCCTGGTGTGCGGCATTAACTTTAAATTTCACCCTACATTCGCTTAACAAAGCACGGGGAATGGATGCCTTGCCTTGAGATTGGCTTGGAGTGCGACATTGCCTGGCCCAAGGCTTAGCCCATGGACCAGCCAGACCCATAGCATGACACGGGCCCGTGCGGGCTCGAGCTGTGGGCCGTGCCAAATCAACCCCCCAAATTACCCTAAAGGAGAGAGGCATGGCTTGGGACGCCTCATGGGCTAGCACGACATGACTCGCACTTTGTGCGGGCCACATGTGGGTCATGTCATGCTGACCCAGCATTGACCCAATTTACACATCTACTTGAACCCACCTAATACTGGGGACAGGGCAGGGAAATT